TTCAGCTAAATAGAATTAAAAAATTCCTGAACCCGAATTCGGACATGAACACACTTCCCCCCTTTTCAATAAATCGACCTATTTTACAGGTGGCGCTCAACCCTGTAAAATAACCCCGTAAAACTCAAAAATTTATAAATTTTTGTCTGACTGATCCAATCAGTGTATTTTTTTTAATATAAAGATGCCCAATGGGTAGGCTCATGAGGCCCATCTGGTCGGGTCTGGTCTATGGCTAAATTGGTTGAAGACTCTCATTAGGTCCAAATTTTTACTTTAAAAATGGGCCTTAGTTAGATATAATTCCTTGGTAGGGGAGACTGGGGATCTAACGATTCCGAAGTTCTTGTGAACCTTGGGGTTTTATTTCTAGAGTACTTCAACTCGAATGGTCTATTTTTGTTTAACCAAATATGTATAACTATATTTTATGCATACGTGGCTATAATTTTTTTAATATTGGATTATAATAACATATTAAAATTTTTAAAACAAAATATACGATTTTATACCCTCAAAAAGTAACCTTTTTAAAAATGCTGCAATTTAATCAAAAATTAAAAAATAATAAAGGTTTTAATTAATCCATTAAAAAAAAAATTAAACCATTTTAGTGTTATTAAACGGCTCGTTTTGAGTCGCTTTTTAAAAACGGCTAACTCAATATATCATCCAGAAAAATATTAGGCATGCCTCAAGATTTTGTTCATAGAAGGAACAAAGGTCTGGGCATCTATTAGCGAAATCTCGAGGCTTATGCCATATTTTTCTGGCTAAAATATTGAGTTAGCCGTTTTTTAAAATAGGCTCAAAACGAGCCGTTCTAACAACATTACCTATTCTATATTTAAAAAAAAAAATTTATTTGAACAAAAATTAAATTTTTTAAAAGTGATTGGCGATCTGGGGACCAACTTCTTTTTGTGAGCGTTATTTTTAAAGTTTATATTTTTGCTTATTGAAATTTGAATATGGTAAGAAAGAAATCATAATTAAGGGATAGAAAGAAAGAAATGAAAATCTTTCCTTACTGAACCGTTACCGAGAAAACAAACTTAGGTTGGGCAAAAGTAAAAATAAGATTATTAATCAATTATTAATTAATGAAACAACAAGATTTAACATGGTCTACATTCAGGTCAAATATTCAAGAAAGTGAGAAAAAAAAACTATTAATTATCAAATTATCCTAATAAATGCATCTAAATCTAAAATGTTTATGAGGTCTTTGTCCCTCTTAAATTACCTTAGTTTGGGCAAAAGTAAAAATAAGATTATTAATCAATTATTAATTAATGAAACAACAAGATTTAACATGGTTTACATTCAGGTCAAATATTCAAGAAAGTGAAGAGAAAAAAACTATTAATTATCCAATTATCCTAATAAATACATCTAAATCTAAAATGTTTATAAGGTCTTTGTCCCTCTGAAGCCTATTGCACCATTCTTTATTTGTTTTAAATTGTCAATAAATTTCACTAATTTTTTTTTTTTAAAATTATTTTCCATTATGGCGTATTTTTATCGATAAAGTAGTCTCAATTATATATATAATAAATATAATATTTAAAAAAAAATAATCAATATTAGCAGCTCAAGAGCGGCTCATGATGGAAAAGCTCATACTTCCCCCGTGGGGTGTATCTCATCTATTCCCCAATATTTTTTGTTTTCGGAAAGTAAATAAGTGAAAATAAAATGAGATATTTATTTATTCAATAGTAGTTTTAATTTTATCGAGGTTTTGCCTCTTAGGGCCTCGCATATTCCTCGGTTTCCCCCTACTATTCTTGCCATATGATATTTATAAACCCGATAAGAGTTAAAATCTAGGTCCGATCCGTCCAAGTCCGGGAGAATGTTTGTTCGAGTGCGACATGTGACTTGAATCCGCTTCATTAGGTACTCTAGAGCGAAGAACAAAACAGCGAAAAAATTGAGAATCTTGCTTAGATCTCCCAGAAAATTTTTTAAAGTAAATTTCAAAATTGATATTAATAGATGCTGTTAGGGAAGTAAATACATCAATCTAAATTAAATTTTTTATAAAAAAAATATCTCCAAAAAAATGGACGAAATATTTTCCATATTCCTAATTTCGGGAATTAAATTTAGGACAAAGATGATATTTAGTCCAATTTTTACATATTTTTTTAAAAAAAAATTTTTCCTGAAATTACAACTGAATCTTTTAATTGAGGCAAATTGATGATGCATTTACTTCCCTAACATCTATTAATATCAATTTTCAAAATTACTCAAAAAATTTTTCAAGGATATATAGGCGAAATTCCTAATTTTTCGCTGTTTCATACCGAATTCTCGTTTTATTTATTGATTTGTCTAATAAAAATCTCTATAACTATCCACCTTTCAGCAAAATGCGACTTGTTACGGATTATTATAAACATCAATTTTTAACATAGCCAAAAAAAAAAAATTTAATTTTAAATTTAAAAAAGAAAGAAAGAAAGAAATATCGATTTGTAATATACCAAAAAAAATAACTAGCATTAACCCCTTTAAGTTATACAATTATATCAAAATGTCAAGATTTTATGATTAATACAAAACTACGAATATAATAAAATCCGACGGTTCTTTACCGGATTTCGGTCGAAAGTAAAGATTGATCGATTTGATTTAAACTTTAATATTCGAATTTTGAGCCACCTTGCGCGGTTTAGTAATGCCGTTCAGAGAGTGTTTTGTCCGATGAGTTCTATAGAGGCACACAAAAACTGATACTCGGACATTTCCATTCATTTCATTCTTCAGAATAAATCGCAACCTCAGAATTTTGTTCGATTGACTCATTAAACTGCCAGGAAATATCAAGTTCACCCCCCCCCCCTCCTTAAAACTATTTACTTTCCATGGGGGGTCTCTTCAATTCCATTTTGTTTTCATCCAAATTGTTGACAATTGTCTACCCGTATGGTCTCTCATATACTGGCTAACCTACCAGGCTATTATACTTTACTTATCGTCCTCGCCCATTGTTGTGATTGACGTCGGAGTATTGAGAGCTGTCAATCAAGGATTATTAATTATTATGATATTTTTTGTAATTTCAGGCATTGTTAAAGGATTAACATATAATAAATAATCTAATAAATACGAATTACAACAACCATTATGGCCTTCTACCAGATGCGTACGCAGAAATTTGTTGTGGGGGGATTGAGAGGTGGGATATTTTTAAAAAAAGAATCTAGGAAGTTATACCAGAATATATTAAAAAAATTTCTAATGATTTTTGTGGGAAATTTTAAAATGGTAGAATATAAATATATGTCGTATGGGGATATGGAATCCGTGGGGATTCTGAATCTCTTGATTTTAAATAATTTACTAAGGGCGATTTTTTAGATTTATTAGATAAATCTAATTATTGCAGGAATTGCATTTCGGCATGTGCAGATTACCCAAACTGTAAATTTCAAACAATTTTGCTATGAACCTAAAACTACTCCTAATTTATATATGGATTTTTTCTCATATAAATTAAAAAATACCAAAATATCTATGGCTGAAATTGGCTGAAATTTATAGGGTACTCTATACATGATAGAATAGATTTCCGGTTAAGTCGGAATTTATATTTTTTTAAATCGCCCTCGGTATTGGATTTAAGATCAAAAGATTACGAATCCCCGCGGATTCCGGATCCCCCATACGACACACATACATACATATATATATATATATACAAGGAAAATTCGAAATGGAATTCATCATAGAATAAATTAGTAGTTGTATTTATTTTCTGCCGTGAAAATGTGATAATAAATATGAGGAAGGAATGATTATAAAATATAAATAAATTTTATAATCATAAAAAAAAAGTAATATTTTTGTAAGATATTTTAGTCGGCGCATAAATTTTTTGACTTTGAAGGGGGGATTTGCCATCTGTTCTTCCCCGCCCCCTCTGCATATGCGTCCGCCTTCTACACTTGTATTTAAATATAGATCTAGAGAATTTTTTTGCACAAGTAGTCTAAACCGGCAAGATAAATTTTTACGAAAAGTCCGCCTTGGTCGGCTAAAAATTTTTTTATACTAATTCTTTCGGCCATTATGGCAATTTCTAGATAACATTTTAAATATTATAGTTACTTGTTTTATAATATTTTACTGCCTCCCAGTTCAAAAAATAAATTTATTCTGAGAAATTCACTGCATTTAACCCTGAAAATATTATTTATTTTTTTCCCCCGCAATTTATTTTATTATATCCATAGAAGTAATTGCGTTGAGTGAGTACTCAAGCTGAACTTTTAAAGATGGTTTCTCAGAATTCTGGGCACGAGCCTATAAAATATTATATTTTTAAAAACGGCTAACTTAATATTTTAGCACTAGAAATATATTTTCTAAGTCCCGAGATTTCATTAGTAGATGTTCTATATGATCAAAATCTTAAGGCCCGCGTATAATATTTTTCTGGGATAAAATATTGAGTTAGCCATTTTTAAATTCGGTTTTTAAACGAGCCGTTTAACAACATACATTAACCATATCTTACATATGAAATATTATATATTTGATAATGATTATTTATAATAAAAAATATAATTTGTTATTATTATTTTTTTTTTAAATATATAATGTTTTAAAAAAAATTAATATATAAAAGTATAAAATAAAATCGGCCATATGATAAAATAGAAAATATATTATTTCTTCCCCCATCTCCTATCTTTTATAAGTTTAAAATTATTTATTTATTTTATTTTTTTTTGAAAAACAATATTATTCCTGTTAAAAATTGCCGAAAAAAATTACAAAATTACCCATAATTTACTCTAAAATATTTAATAAATTTCCGTTTTTTTATCCCACTAAAATTTAAACAGTGAATTTTATGAAAACGAAAAACAATTTGTGTTGGACTCTATTATTCAATTGTCAATTATCAGCGGAATTAGCTGGAATCAGAGATTGAAAAAAAAGATATACTTGTGGTTTTGGGGAAGGAAAATGTTTATTTTCCCCTCCTAAAATAAATAATTATATATTAATTTTTATGCCACGATTCGTTTAGTTATTATATATATTATCATCATTATCATCATGTTTTTGAAAAGTTCTGGAATAAAAGGGATTCTAAGTAAGAAAAAAAAAATTAGAATTATTTACACAATCACTTTGCTATACAATTTTTATTTTTCAGAAAATATAATTATTTATTATTAATAGAATAATTATTAAATTTAAAGTGGAGGAAGAAAGTGAAAAGGGATGAAGGAAGAAACAGATAGAAGGTAGAAGTGAAAAGAAGTGTGGTTAAACTGGTCGATCTGAGCCGATTTTTTAAAAACGGCTAACTCAATGTTTTATTCAGAAAAATATTAGGCAAGCCTATAGATTTTGCTCATAGATGATAGCGATTTCGAGGCATAGCCAATATTTTTCTGGCTAAAATATTGAGTTAGCCCTTTTTAAAAAAATCGGCTAAAATCGAACCATTTAACAACACTAGCGAAAAGGAAAAAGGAGGCCAGGAAATATGTGAAAGATGGTCGTTAGTTTCTGCTATTCTTCCCTAAAGATAGAACACCATAAATTTTCGCATATGATCGGTTCAGAGGAATAGATGATCTTTTAAAATTAATGTTTTTATAATATAAAGATTTCTAAAAAGTTGAGTATATTAAATTTATTTTGATTTTCAAAGAATACGGAAAGAAAAAATTTATATATATATATATTCGATTTTTAAATTTATCTGCGGTGGAGGTGGCCATTTTCGATTTTCAAATTTTCTATTAGGAAAAAAATAATTTAAAAAAAAACCACAAAATAAATGATTGATTGAATTCTGTTCTAATTTTATCAAAAATAGAAAATAATTTCTTTTTTTTTGGAACGCAGCACATTCTAAAACATGATTTTAAAAGAATCAATATCTTCCGGCCCGTACCCGGTGAGTCCGGCCCGGTTCGGCCCGTACCCGGTGAGTCCGGCCCGGTTCGGCCCGAATATCTTTTTTTTTAAAGTTATAATTATTGTATTTTCTTTTTGTTTAAAAAAAAATTGATTTTACAAAATTAAAAAGTATAAAGGGGTTAAATTTTTTTTTTTGCATACCAATAAAACTAGTGTAGTAAAACGGCTCGTTTTGAGCCGATTTTTAAAAACGGGGTACCTCAATATTTTAGCCTGAAAAATATTGCCTAAGCCTAGAGATTTCGCTAATAGATGTCCAAAACATATGTTCCTTCTACTAACAAAATTTTGAGGCTTGCGTAATACTAACCGTTTAACAACACTAAAACAGGTAAGGCTCTGCATTCTAAATTGAAGTTTTTCTTTAAAAGTTCATTATAAAATTCTCTGAAAACCTATAGGGTAGATAATTATACACCTATAGGAATGCGTTTCTCTCAAGATGAATTTTTATAAAAATTTAAAATAACGCGCTCAAATTAATGATTTATTATGCAAAAAATACAACAAAACCTATGTTTTTTTTTGCAGTATACTTTCCAAATCATGAATTTTAAAAGAATCCAATAGATTCTATCTTTTTAGAATTATTATATTTTCTTTTGTTTAAAAATTGATTTTACAAAAATTAAAAATAAAGGGTTTAAATTTTTTTTTGTATACCAATAAACATTGTAAGGCGATAATTTAATAGGTTTTTTCCCGATATGCACTGTTAGGGGTTTTGCCCTTTTTAAATTGAAAATTTTTCTTTAAAAAATTCATTATTTAAAATTGTCTGAAAACTTATAAGGTGGGTAGTAATTTTTAGTGTTGTTCGGTTCGATTTAAGCCGATTTTTAAAAACGGCTAACTCATTATTGTAGTCGGAAAAATATTGTCTAAGGCTGCATTCATAGTGATTGACTTTTGACGGAACGGATGTAAAAAACGGATCCGTCTCCACTATGAATGCAGCCTAAAACCTCGCGATTTCGCTAATAGATGTCCAAACCGTTGTGCCATCTATGAGTAGGATCTTCAGCCTTGCGTAAATATTATTCTGGATAAAATATTGAGTTAGTCGGTTTTAAAAATCGGGTCAAATCGAACCGTTTAACAACACTAGTAATTATACACCTAGCGGAATGCATTTTATCAGATTTTTTTTTTAAATTTTAAAAATAACGCGCTCAAATTAAAAATGAGTTAGAAATTCAAAAATTGCACAAGGCGCGTTATTTTAAATTTTAAAAAATCTGATTTTTTGCCAGAAATGCTTTCCGATATATATGTGTAAAATGACTATCCTCAAAAAATTTCAGACAATTTTATAATGGAACTTTTAAAGAAATTTCGATTTTAAAACGCAAAACTTTAATACTCATGTCCGGGAAAATATATCAAACTAATCGCATTTACCCCAATAAACAAATTCAAGTGTTATTTTCGAAAATTAAATTCTCTAAGGATTTAACAAATTTCTAAACAAAAAAAAAGGTTTTTTAGGAAGATACATTTATAGAATAAAAAGATTTGTAACTTTTTTTGGGGGGGGGGGAGAAAGAATTGGATAAATTATTTTTTCGAAGTATTTAGGTGATTTTCTAGGTTCCTATGATTAGAGAATCATCAAGCATCTCATGTCTAGATTTCCTTATAAATGATTTATGCTTCAATCAAAAAAAAAATCAAAGGATAAATTTAAAAAATGCCTAAGAAAAACCTCTGCTCATTAACGTAGCCACGGGGAAGTAAGGGGAAAATCCCCACCTTCATATATCAATATAAAGTTGAATTTGAAAAAAAAAATTGGTAAAATATTGTATATACTTTATTTTTATAAAAACTCTACTACAGCCAAAGGCACCCTAAAAACCTACAATAAAATATATGGGGGAGGAAAACCCAACTCTAATAGTGTTTCCCCCTTTCCTCATAGCCAAAAATCCTGGCTAAGTTTTATGCCTCTGCTTAAGATAGGAAGGACGTCTTGTGATAACCAACACCATAGTATTCTTCTCTATTATCTAAACCTATTTTTAAACGAATCTAAAAATGACACGATAAGTTTTATAATAATAAATCGCCGAGTTTTATCGCTATAACCACAATTATTATTTTAACCATATTGGCTCAAGGTTTTGCCTCTCGTTTTTTAGTTCTGAAGCACATTTTCAAGATTTCTACATACCATTAATTATGTTCCCCATCAGGTTGAGATTTGAGGACGATCCTTTTATTTATACACCAGCTTTGCCACGTTTAAACCTGAATAGTCAGAAAAATGAGCACATAATTTCCATATTTCGGAAGGGAACTTGTGTTCTTTTTTCATAAATATATCGGACACCTGAATGTTCGGTTCAAGGGTATGACCGGGTCATCAAATTTCACTTAAAATATACCGGGCCATTTACCCGGTCGTGGCCGGTCGGTCTAAAAGTTATTAAAATTAGGTCGGGCCAATTATTTTAAAGCTAGCCTATTATCAAATATTAAAATATGTATATATAATTAATAATTTCGTTTCTTATCATATTCCCATCTCAAAACCATTTATACATCTCTCATTAGAAAATAACTAGTTTATAAAAAGAAGGCAAAATTAGTTTTTAAAATAGTTTCACTCAAGTTAAAATAAACTTTCCACACATCAAATTTTAAATACCTATATATAATTATTTTTTTTCCTCATAGAGTTAAAATTAATTTAAATATCTAAATTTCCGCTAAATAGAGTTTAAAATTCTTGAACCGGGTTAATAACCCTGGTTATAACTATCTATAAAATAATTTATTTTAAGAAACAGAATTTTTTTTTTTTTTAAAAAAATATATATTATAAACCATATTAGAGTAAAAAAAAACAGACATCAGTCAGAAAGGAAAGTTTGGCTAAAAATATTTATGAAAGAAGAAAAAAAATGTTTAATTGAAATGAAAAAACATGAAAAAAAACTAATTTTTAATTAAAAACAAAAAAACAAAAATTGTAAAAAAAAACGATTTTTTATGAAACGCGTTCGTTTATGACACTTAAAAAGAAAATTGAAAATGTTTTTGATAATTTAACGACAAGAACATAGAGAGGGGGGGGGTAACTTGTCATTTTACTTGTTTTACTTTGTAAAAAGAAAATTATTAATTTAAAAATAATTTTAATTGAAATAAAATAAAATTAAATAAAATAAAATTGTATTGATTTATAATTCCAGTTTCTTTTCTAAAAAAAAATTGAAAAAGTTCAGATTTAATAAAAAAATCATCCAAAAATCCATGAGAAATTTTTACAGAAAGCAAAAAAATTATTTGTATTATTTATACTATTATCCTATTTATTATCTACAAAAAAAAAGATATTAAATAAATGATAAAATAAAATAAATTGATTATCACATAAAAACAATAGCGAAAAATATATATATAAAAAAAGGTTCATTTAGTTCAAAAAATAGAAAATAAAAATGTGTTTTTTTTTCTTCTATTAACTTATTACACATTAAATGAGAGAAAGGGTGAAAACTGAAAGAAAAAGAGGGAAGGATTTGCAACACAAGTTCTCGTGAGGATGCCAGCCTCCTCCACAAATCCATCAATAATATTCAATCAGCCACTCCTAAATAGGTTAAAATCCAGCAGATTTTGAGCCAGTGGCCTTTTAAAAAATAATAACTTCATGTGTCCCAACACTCCTAACTTCTGTTGTTAAAAGGCTCATAGAAAAATATTACCCAAGCCTGAAGATTTTGCTCATAGAAGGAAGAAAGATCCATACATATATTATCCAAATCTTGAAGCTTAGGTAATATTTTTCTGGTAAAATATTGAATTAGCCATTTTTAAAAATCGGCTCAAAACGAGCCATTTTTCATATCCTGGACAAACAACTTACCGATGTCTATCGACTTTGCAGAAGTCGAATGTATCTGTTCCTTTTAACGAATACCCTCTCTATGTCCATAGTCACGGTAACTCCCTTCTAGTGAAGTTTGGGCAAAAATGTACTTAAAACTTATAAAAAAAAAATCTTGAGCAAAAAGAGAATCATGGATAGCGATAATACCAACCCCAATGAGCCATTCTATATATGTGTTAGCGTCAATGCATTTTTTCCGGCAATGTGTTATTTTTACAACTTTAAATCAATTTTTGAGGCGCGTTTTTTTTAAAAAAAAAAAAAATTTAAATCATATTTGGAATACCTCTCTTATGAATTGTAAAGCAATTTTTCGGTTAACCTTTAATTCATTTATAATTTGTATAAAAAAAATATAAGAAATTTAATATAAATTATATTAAATTTAAAAAGTTCGTTAAAGTTTAAAAAATAACGCTGCCGGAAAAAACGCAATGACGTTGACATACATATATATATATATACCTTTAAAAGTCTCCATTGGAATCTACCTTGATTAGCCGAAAGAGAGAAAGAAAGAAAGAAGAAGAAAGAAAGAAAGAAAGAAAGAAAGAAAGAAAGAAAGAAAGAAAGAAAGAAAGAAAGAAAGAAAGAAAGAAAGAAAGAAAGAAAGAAAGAAAGAAAGAAAGAAAGAAAGAAAGAAAGAAAGAAAGAAAGAAAGAAAGAAAGAAAGAAAGAAAGAAAGAAAGAAAGAAAAGAAAAGAAAGAAAGTTAAAGAGCACAAATTTTTATGAATAAGTCAAAAAAGAATCAATATTTGTTATACGAATGGAAGATTTAGTTTTGAATAATTTAGTTTTATATTTAAGAATTTTGAAAAGGGTTAAAAATCTGTAAAAACACAAGAAGATATTAATAAATCAAGCGAGTAAAAATGTTAATGGGTTTTATTTTATTATATTTCTTGAAATGAAGAAAAAATATCTCAAAAAAAAAATTCTTCTTTACATGGAAAATGTTATCCTTTTGAGATTTCACCCTCCTTTTCCTTACTTCCTTCCTTTCCTTTTTTTTCTATTCCCAAGCATCCTTTTCCTAATATCTAACTAAACAATTATTAACCTGGCACTTGAACTAACAACCGGAACAAAATAAAAATCTCATAAGGTAAATTAATAAATATTATTTTGTTTTATTTTAAATTTTAAAATTTTTAAAAAATTATAATCCAAAAACATTAATAAATTACAAAAAAATAAAATGAAAGGAAAAGATATTTAGTTTTAAGTTTGTATAGTTCTATCTTGTCGGTAATTTCATTTCAAAAAAAAAATGTAAAAAAAGAAGAAATTACGAATGAGAGAGATAAAGGGAATCATAATATAATGTTATATCTTCTTTTACTGATCTAATTACAAAACTATATGTTTTATACTCTATAAAAGCAAAAAAAAATGGGAAAAAAAAATATTATATATTTTGTTTGATATTTTTGTTCGTATTAACTAAATAAAATATAAATTGACTTGGTAAAAATTAGTATATAATATTATCTCCATGTGTGCCATAGCCCGTCCTCTTTTATTTTTATATAAAAAAATAAATATTATTGATAATTTTATTTTAGTTTTTTTTTTTTTAAATAAAAATAAACGAATTGAAAAGTTAATATTACATTAAAAATTGGGAAAATATGATACATAATAATTTAGAAATAATTTATTAAAATCATGAAATAAAAGTGGTATAATCTAAAAAAAATTGTTAAAATATTGAAATATTTTAATTGTTTATCAATTTTTATATAAGTATTATATAATTTTAATAAAATTGTAATTTTATTTTTTACCTGATAACAATAAAAAATATAATTTTATATTTATCTAAAAATATAATAATAAAAAATCGATAAATTTTGAAAATGTACATTAGTTTTGAAGAAGAAAAAATATATATTAAATGAGTAATTAAGACTAGACTATCTAATTTACAACCTTCTTTAGTCTTCCTTCCTAAGGATCATATTATTCCTAGATAGGTGGCAACATTCAATTTCATATTTAGAAAACTAAAACACTTTTCCCGTTAATTAAATTTTTTTTTTCTCTCTCTCTCTCTACAGCTAGAAGAGAAAGCCATTCCGACATGATGGGACATGAATCATACGAATCTCTCGTGGAAGATTATAGAGATCAGCTGCCCACGATTTCACGTTTTAAATGCGTGATATGCGCTTAACCGAAAATGCGACAAGATCCTTTTTGCCTGCCACCATTTATTCCGTTTGTCCGAATCTAGTGAATAATCGAAAAAATTTCACCCTTTTTGCTAAAAAAATTATCAACCCCAAACCTAATCCACCTAATAAAATCAATTCTGACACCGCAAATTCCTGCGCGGCACGTGCGGTGATAATATCGCCATCCTTATTCAATACCGACCTCGTGACCAACCCGTTCATCAAACACCCAGCCTTGATTCTGATAGTATTCTTGTGCTTCATGTCGATATTACTAAACGACGTCAATTGCATGAAGGCCCCCTGGGTCTCGAGGATTGAAAGATCATCGTACACCACCACCCCCATTCATTACTTCGAAATACCTAATAATTCGACCAAGAACGCTACTCGCTTTAACCAATCATCCGCAAACGTATTACGAGATTACGTTTTTTTCAAACGGCGAATAAAATCGTTTAAAAATCATTACAGAAGGAGACCCAAATCCTGGGACAAGACCAATTTTAAACTATTTTATCGCGGTGTCGATCGCAACATTACCCCATTCTCTATAAAAGCGATAACCACTCCGCATCATAAGAGCCTAACACGCTATAAACAACGGTCCCTTGATTCAATTTTGCCAAACCTCTTCGGTCTCCTAGATCACAATAATACGGAGGAGGAAAATATAGATAGTGTCGCCACAGCTCACCCCTCAAGAGAAGGTTTTAAAGCTGGAATTTCTTATGAAATTTTAAAACTCAAATTAGGGCTTCCTTCTCGTGAAAGTATTTATAATCAGAATCGCATAACTGACGCTATATCGCCTTCTTTCGCCAATGAGAACCTTCACAGATACCAAACTACCCTTCGTTCCTTTCCAGACCTGGTTCAGCACACTCCTTTAATAATCGTAGCCAAAATGGTTCCCCTCTCGTGCTACCGTAATACGGAATACACGACCAACGATATTCCCGCATTCCTTGGGGACCAAAAATTTATGGAGCTTAACAGCCCTGCTGCTCACTCTTCGATACGTTTGGAAACTTTTGACGTCTACGATAGATTGAAGAAGTGGGCCGGAAGGGATGCATTTCTTCTAAAAAAATTAGAAAATTATATGACAGGAATCTACAATGCTTCAAATAGAACAAACCCAGTAGACGTTACTAATGAACGAATACATCCTCTTCATCAATCGACGACTCATTACTCGGGATCTATTAATGATAATACAATATCTAACGATATAATACTGCCGTTCAAGGTGACTCCTATCAAGATTATCAAAGGAGGTCAACATTATACTTCTCTTATAGGTCAAGAAATATATCTCACTTGGGACAAATCGGGAATTTTTTCCGATTCCACTATCAACAAAGAGGTGGCGCCAAATAAGTCATCAGGGTTTTCTTACTTCTGGTACCCGTCGCCGCCCCGTTTCCACCCTAAACTACCGTATTCCTCCGATAATTCTGGATCGATTAGACCTATTACGGCCGAACCTCAAACCGCTACAGGTGTGGGACAGATTTTTGATCCCCTGTTCAACGGCAAATATAACGTTTGCTCGCCTCCGACCGATTACGATAATAAGGTGGCACCTCCTAACGATGATTCCTATATCCTGTTCTTGGAACGATTGCATCCGATTCGTCTTAATACTTCTTCTTCTTCAATTAACAATCTTAGTCAGGACTTGAATTCCGGCGAAAATATATTCAATCTCAAATCTATCCCCTTCGATTCTACGGCTAAACTTAAAAAGGAAATTCGTAAAATTTGTTACGGCTCTCCCTTTCATTGCGGTAAACCATATTTTGATTATTTTTTTTTTACAAATTCACATTTTTTTTTAAAGTCCCTCGTGGAACTACAAAATCCGATCCAATGGAACTTATGATCTAGTCGGGATTGCTCGGCCAGAGAATTTAAAATATTTTGCTTTTTGTTTATTTCTATAATAGATAAATCGTAAAATTTATCTTTTCTTCTCTTCTCGGACCGCTAATTTAAAGTTTAACAATGGTGTATGTGATAGAAAGTTATTGTTCCTCAACAAATTTAAAAGGATTACTAATAAAGGGTAAAATGAACACACTGGCAAAAAAAAATGGCTTCAATAAATTCTTGGGAGTTTGTGATCGAGGGAAATCAAATAGGAGAGAGAAAGGTGATAAAAAAAATAGATTGCTGGGAGGATGTGCCAATGTTAGTCATAGTGATATATATATTAAATTACAAAAGATATCTAAAAATTATTACTGAGTTAGAGGTTCGGTGATAGGTTCTGAAACTGTCAGTCATCTCCAAATAATGTCGCATCTGACTTATTTATTTCTTTAAAAAAAACATTTCTGACCTCACAACTTGGAAGAAGAAAAAATCAGATATGCCGGGTTCTAAAAATCTCCGCCATATATATTTTTTTTTCTTCGCAATATTTTCTATGAACTGTTTTCCTTTATAATGTTCAAATACGATTTAGAAACACTAATAAGATAGTCATTTTATTTTGTTGCCATTTGAATTAATTTTTGGAAATTTGAGCATATTTTCCGCAAGATTTAGAAGTTAGGTTAATAACCCTTCACGCGTATAGCTGGGTAATGGCTAAATGTCGGCTAATTCTGCTCAATCATCAGGCGTTTGCCGGAAAAAATCCGTTAATATTAAGGCGTTCCAATTTATAATAGTTTTTTTTCAAATTTAAGCTGCTATCTTTTCAAGAAAAAATTTTCCAAGGCCAAAGTGATAGTTTTCGGTTAAAAATATGGTTTAACCCGATGTTTTTAGCGGCTAAAATGTCGGCTTAAACGGTTAAAAATATGGTAAATTACCCAGCTATACCCTTGAGGTAAAAGGTCGAAAAATCATAACACCAGTAGTTGGATGAGGCGTTGCTCACCCCCGTTTTAAAAGTTATATATATATATATATATCTCGTATACAATTTTATATTTTAAGCTTTGATATGTTAGACTAGTTATGTTAAACGGCTCGTTTTGAACCGATTTTTTAAAAACGTTTAGATCTTTACATTAGCCAGAAAAATTCGATAATATATTTCTAGACCTTTGTTCCTTCTATGAGCAAAATCTTCGGGCTTGTGTAATATTTTTCTGGATAAAATATTGATTTAGCCGTTTTTAAAAATCGGCGTAACAACACTCTGTTAGAAATTTAATTAAAGTAAAATCTTATACATTAATATTATTAAATATTAAAAAAATTTGAAGATTTATAAAATGAATGGAAAATTTCATGCGAATTTTTATTTGAAGTTTCGATTAAAAAAAATAATCAAAATTACTGCTATGTTTTTCATAACTTTACCGATAAAAATCTATTTATAACATGCAATAATCAATATTTTTTTTTATTAGCGTATACTTGTTTTCAAATAATATATATATATATTTATTCTTAAAATTATAAGAATTGATATTGGCGTTTTTTTGACTCCAAATAAAAAAACGTTTTTACCCTGAAAAAAATCATTCAATACGGGAAAAATATTAGGCATAAAATAAGAGACTAATACCAAAAAAAACCCCAGGTCAAAATATCTAAGGGGAGACCGGGGGTTATATTGTTCTTTAAGTGCTGTGAAAATAAATAGATGAAACAATTTTTTCAAATATTTAAGCATGGTTTTATTCATTACATTTATATCTTCTCTACAGTAGAAATTAATATTTAAGAAAAAAAATTAGGAAAATGGTGAACATCCCGGGGTACATATTAGCCTATCACGATTGGTGTTAGGGTTTATATTGTTCTTATAAAAATTGAAGTGCTATAAAAATTAATAGACGAAACAATTTTTTCAAAATATTTAAGCGTAAGTTTTTATTCTTTACATTATATCTTCTCTACAGTAGAAATAATGAAATTTTTGAAAAATGATGAACACCCCGGGGTACATTTTAGCCTATCACGATGCATGTTATAGCGATTACCTTTATTTTTAGAAAAAATATTTTAATATATCACCTGAAAAAAACTTGTTGTCACTTTAAAACTGTCATACAATTTACAAAAATATAAGTCAATCATATTGTCATTCGCAACCATACATAAACTCGTGGCTTCTAAGGATCTTAAAAAAAATAAATTCATGCCTAAAGATAGCAAATTACCCATTTCCGTCTAAAACCTGCCCCAAGGTCTTCACATTTAATTAAAATTTAATTTTAAGTAATTTAAATTTACCATAAATAATTTTCAATATTTTTTTATACCATGATAAAATTGAGATTTATCATATCATTTAGAAATTTGATATTTTGCCTTGAATAATTTTATATATAAAAAAAAATTATAGTTACTTTTGGACGTGTTTAACAAAATTTAAATTTTATATTTAAAACTTTTCATAAACGACACATTTTTAAATTGAATTGAATTGTAGTATCTTTTGAAATGCATTTTGCGGTTTAAATTTCAAATGTCAAAGTTCATTAGATTTTAATTTATATTTGAGAAAAATGTACCCGCCCCTGGATAACACTCTCGATATCCCTTACATTGTAGTTACAATTTAAAAAAAATCTCTGTGGTGTTTGTTGCTATGCCTCAGGACCTTCGGATAAAGTTTATTATCAAAAAAAATTTTTTTTTCTATATATGGATCAAACTCAAAGAAATTCGGGACAAATTAAGCTTGGAGAAGGAAATCATGGAACAGATAAAGGGGCGTAATATCATATCAATCTTATAGCTGTATCCAATTACATATGCTTGTTTATTTCTAAATCCTAAACCTAAGGATTACATTTTATCAACCTTATTATTTTTAATTCTTACCATAAGTATTATACTATAACTATAATAACTAATAGTTATTTTAATATGAATTTTTATGAGTTCAAATTAATTTTATTTTGATTGTAAATTTACTTTTCATCTAAAAAAAAAATAAATAGAAGAAGACTAATAATGAAAGAGAGAAAAAAAAGAAGGTTTTACGAAAAAAAAAAGAAAGAAAGAAAGAATGAAAGAAAGAAAGAAAGAAAGAAAGTATAAAAAAGAAAGGACAAAATTTTACCAACCTTCTTTCAATAAGTTTAAATATAGATTTCCAAAATATGATATAATACTGCAACAATAGTGTTTAAATTTCAACTGCGTTGTCTCCCTAATTCTTAATTTTTTTTGCCAGTATTCTTAATATACATTTTTTTTAGTTGTAAATATATGAAACAGATGCTTAATGTGTGTTTAAAATTATGTTTTTTTTTATTTAAAAAACATTTTAATTTTTTTTTTGTTTTTTTGAATTTACCACTCATATTTTTAACAATTATTAAAATCTTGTACCTTAAAAAAATAATAAGAATAAGCATCATTCCCACTTCCCACCCTAGATCCCACACCCCTCACCAATTTCCACCTTTCCAAAGGGTATAATATTTAATTCTTTACATAAAAGTATTTCAGAATTAAAGATACCCTTATAATGGGTTCGTATTTATTATTATTATTACCATAAAAAAAAATCAGATATCACTTTGAAATGAAGAGATAAATTGAACCCGTTAGCCAAGGGTGGTCGCTAAATTGGGTGCAAGTGTTCAGGAGGTGAGAGTCACTATCCAAATTTTTGTGTAGGCGGACGGGGGCACGGTCAACCTAGGCCTGGGCTAGTTTTTTGTAATCTTAAGATGGACTACGATGCTTCATGTTTTTTAGGCTTTGAAGACCAATTTGATTGGTTAAACTGTTGATCTGCGCGAACCGAACTCACCCGTTTAAAAATAAATTTTCTATTACGAATTTTCCAAAGTCAGCTTCGTTAAATAAAAAAACAATCACAAAATTAATTAGGAAGAAATAATTTAAAAGTTTCTAAATTTTTACGTGCCTGGACCACGGACAGGGATTTTTGGAACCGGTGGCTCATATTTCTAGAATTGTGAATCAAACAATCACGTGGGGCTTCGCTATTTAATCCCTAAAAAAATCAACGATATTCTTTTTTTTTTCCTCCCTTTTTCCTATCTTCCACTAAGAAAAATTGAAAATAAATAAAGATGTGAAATAATTAATCAAAGATTTTATTCTCATTTCTTTTCCTCTTTTTAAAGAACAAAGTATGAAAGAACTCTTTAAATAAATAAGTACTTTTAATATCTATTCTATTATTATAAAATACTTATATATACTTACTTTGTAATGTAACTTACATAATACACAAAACACATATACAACTAATCTATCAATATATATATTTTTTATTTTACAATATATGTATTAAAAGATAAAACTGAAGTTAAAAAAATTAAAAATGCTTTAAAAATATAAATGCTTCATTCGTCAAAATCAAAAACGAATTTAACATTATTTTATGTTTCTTTTTTTAAAAAAATATTTAGAAGCTAGAAGCCTGGCACTTTTGGGGAGGGGTGAGGAGATCTATCCGTATTCTTTAAGGGTTCGGTCAGGATTATTATTTTATTTATTTATTTTTAACCTTTTTTTTTAAAAAATTAAATTGAAAACATCTCTCTTAAGATTCTTACGATTTTTTTTAAAAAAAAAAGTTTCATTTTTTATTAATAAAGTTTCATTTTTTTTTAAAAAATTTTTTTTTATACCATTAATTTTCTTACATTTTATATGAGCCAGTTTAAATAATAGACATAGACCTAATTTTGTTAAACAGCTCAAAAAAAAAAATTTTTGCTCATCGAAGGCAGTGAACTTTGGACTAGTGGTTTTTATTGAACGAAGTTTTTCCAACAAACCCTCCTACTCTTTGTTTTTAAAAATTTTTTGACCCCCCCCCACCCACCCCCGCCCATTT